GGGAGCCCAACTCGGGGCTGGATCCCAGGACCCTGGGATCATGACCTGGGCTGAAGGCAGATGCTTAACCGACTGAGCCACCCAGGCACCCCAAAGATTTTATTTATTTAACTGAGAGAAAAAGAGAGCATGAACGGGGAGGGGGGAAGGGGCAGAGGCAGGCTCTCCACTTGAGCAGGGAGCCCAACACGGGGCTCCATCCCAGGACCCTGGGATCATGACCTGAGCTGAAGGCAGATGCTTAACTGACTGAGCCACCCTGGCACCTCTTTCCTGTCTACCTTTAACAAGATTCATAAAAAGTTCTTTTGGAGAATATATTCTAACAGGTGTATTTAAGAAAAATTATTTTGCATATTGCAAGGCAGAGGTAACTTACTATCTAACATCTTACTCTCTTACTATCTACATGTCTAACTAGTCATGTTAGACTCTTCTCAAAGTGTTGGTATTTCATTTGATGGTGAAGATCTCCAAATAGTTCTGTGCATTTAAGCAGTTAGAAGCTTGTGCCTTTCTTTTTAAAGAATGCATGGTGATCATAGTTATACAAGCATGTGTGTCAACTTCTTTCAATTGTATGATTTAAACTAACCACCTCTTCTCTGGTGTCCATTGTGATAAAAGACATTTTCTCTTGTATGTTTATTCATAACAGCTGATGTTCCGTAAAATGAGAGGCTTAAGTGAATTTCCGGAAAATGTTTCGGCCACTGGAGATGTCCTGTCTCACTTGACCTCCTCGGTTGACCTGGACTTCGGCGCGCACCATCCCCTCCACGTGACCATGCTGCCTAACCCCTCACACCTGGAAGCCGTCAACCCCGTGGCCGTGGGGAAGACTCGAGGAAGGCAGCAGTCTAGACAGGACGGGGACTACTCTCCAGACAGTTCGGCTCAGCCTGGGGACAAAGTCATTTGCTTACAGGTACTTGTAGCTTCAGGAAGGGAGGCTGGAGGCTGAGGAGAGCAAGAGGAAGGGAAGGGAGATGGTAGACGTTCAAGATGAAATTGAGATTAACTTTTGGGAAAAGAAGATTCCGGGCTTGTTTTTAAAATTAATAGCAGGTATGAGGTCTAGTCTCAAGGCAACTGACTTTTTAGACTGAGGTTTCACTGTTTTTTTTTTTTTTTTTTTGAAGAACCACTTTAAACATTTTTAAAATTTAAATTCAATTAATATATAATGTATTATTGGTTTCAGAGGTACAGGTCTGTGATTCGTCAGTCTTATATAACACCCAGTGCTCATTATCCATGCCCTCCTTTATGCCCAGCACCCAGTTACCCCATCCCCTGACCCCCTCCCCTCCAGCAACCCTCTGTTTGTTTCCTATGCTTAAAAGTCTCTTATGGTTTGTCTTATGTTTTTCTTTCTTGAGTTGTGCATGTTATTTAAGGGAGTATCGACTGGTATCCCTGATGCTTTTCAGAGGACAGATGTCATTACTTTTAGGAAACTACGTGGTATCCATATATCTAACAAGTCTTGCTTGTTTTACAGTAAAGGTCTTGGGGTGCCTGGGTGGCTCAGTCAGTTAAGCATCCGAGTCTTGGTCTCAGCTCAGGTCTTGATCTCAGAGTTGTAAGTTCAAGCCCCGCGTTGGGCTCCATGCTGGGTGTAGAGCCTACTTAAAAAATAATAATGAAAGGGCGCCTGGGTGGCTCAGTTGGTTAAGCGACTGCCTTCGGCTCAGGTCATGATCCTGGAGTCCCTGGATCGAGTCCCGCATCGGGCTCC